GTTACTATGAATGGGAGAAAAATCTCATATACAACACTAAAGAGAAAAATAAAATCATGTAATAAATAAAAATCGCCTGCTTAAATTTAATACATAACATATTTTATTGAAATAATGTTTTAAAAAAGTTAAACAGTGCTTGACATTTTAATATTGTCAGATCTATGACAACAAGCAATAAATTTATTTAGATTTTAGTAGACTCTAGAGCTTCATTCCTCGATAGGCTCAGTAATTAACTGTTCTCTGGTGTTCTAAAATTTGACACTTGTTAGCATTTTAATCTCTGGCCTAATTTCAAGCCTAATCCTCTAAGTGTTACAGGTCTGGCTCTGAATTCACAAAATGTCACCCAAAGTCTGATATAATAGAAACTGGCAGAGATTTTCATGTCTAATGAATAGGAAAGCCATCATTCTATATAGAATTTTATGTCCAAAATGCTTAGAGAGTTAAAACTATGTCAGACATGAAATTAGGACAAGCAACAACATTCTGTTCGGCATATATCAGGCAGTTTCAGAACTCTCTTTTTCTTTAATAAGAGAGGATCTCCCTCAAAGTGACCTTCATATTTATTAAAATTACTACTACAGCAACAACAGGTTTCTCCTTCCCCCCCAAAACAGAAATTTTATCAATTTATTAACTGATAGAACATTTAACAAAACTTTATTAATAAAATACATTTATTTCTAAAGCTAAATCCTTATTAAAAATGGGCACTGTTTTAAAAAAGTAATTAAAAAATTCTATTGTATAGTTATTTGAAGCATGCAAATTCTTTAATGCATCAGCTATCTTTTTAATTTATCCTTGTATTTTAATATGCTACCAGATTTAAAATAAATTTGTTGCAATATATAGGTTATATAAATTGTGCAAGTTAAAAAAGAACACTAAATGATTAGTTTATTGCTTAATTATATATATTTGATGTTAAGCTATTACATTACACATCATACTATTAATTATTATAGTATAATTATTATAGACTATATGTTAGAAAATAATACAATAATATACAACTATTTATGAGTTAATTATGAAGACCAAACTGTTCAGTGCACAGTAAAAGGTTTTTCAATAACAAATGGAAAGCTAGAAAGTTTTTGATATTACAAGATGCACCAAATAAAATAATCAGATAACTTCTCATAAATAAGAAAAAGAAAAAGACTACTAACTATCAAATAAATATATATTATTCAAAACAGATGCCAGAGGAGTCTATATTATTTTCTGTTTTTTCAGATCATTGTTTAAAGGGTCAGAACTAACAATTTGCAGAACATACATAACATTTAATTTAATATTTGATATGTTTTAAAATCTCTGTCCACTCCATGGACATCTAAAGTTTTGGAAAAAAAAAAAAAAAAAATCAGCTGGTGATAAGTCAGAAGAATATCCTGGATTATTTATCACTGCAACTGAATGTTTAGCAAGACACTGTTGCACAGACAATGCTGTATGAGTCATAGCAATATCGTGTAAAAGAAACCCTTGCTCAGAATATCAAAAAGTTTCTTACTAGTTTGCTGTATCCTGTTTCTCAATAAAAATGCACCTCCTCGTAAAATTCTGATTAACTTGTTAATTTTCGGGGGGGGGGGGAGATTTTTTTAAGATTTAGAAACTTAAAAAAAAAGATGAATAAGTTTTTTGTAATCAAAAAATGCAATCAGCATCACTAGTTCTTAATTTAGACATCCATGACTTTTTTTGGGGGGGGGATATGGAAAAAGATGGTTCCTTCCACTATGCTCGTTATCTTTTTGTTTCTAGGTCATACTGTAGATACCAGGTTTCACTTCCCTCTATGATACAATTCAAGAAATTGTCATCCTATGTGATAGTAGTCAGCAAATCTTCATAGCAAGGTTGTTTGCTATCAAAATCTGAGGCACACATCGGGCCCACCTCTTATTTTTATATTTTCAATTAAAATTAATCAAGAGCTTTCTTTATTTATTGCATGCATGAATGAAAGTTGCTGAGTTGTTACACATCTATTAGCTTTTACCAAAGAACACATTTTCTTCATTCTTTGAAGTTGAAGGGGGTCCTATCTTTGGTTCATCTTCAAAGCTTTCATGCTCACATTTAAAGCTCTTGATAATGATGTTTTACCATATATTGTTTGAATCATCTGTAACGTTTCAGTGGCAGATTTACATAATTTATAACAAATTTAAATGTTATAATGCTGCTCCACCTTGAAGGAAATTTTTGTAATTTGTCTTCTCTGTAAATGAACTTAAACCATAAAATTCAGTTCAAGAGCAATATCGCAAAATAATGTTAAATTAAGCATATCTTTAGAATTTCCAATATACACAGTCTCGCGAGCTGGAGATAAAAGTATTTTTTTTTCTATATAATGTTGCCATTTCTCGCTTTTAAAGCATTGAGTTTGTAAATCAAAAATTCGTTAAAGTTTTACAAAATATAAAATCTATAATAAAACAAATTCCAAATTGGGGATTTCAGATGCCCATATTCGCACTAGGATTTCGTCATTCAAAATTCGATGGCTCTATGTACAATTGTTTTATCACAATGCGAGAAATAGACAATCATTTATGCAGATTTTTCATTATTTAATTTCTTCAAATATAATGCAGGACTCTAACATTTTGTGGCAACAGCTTGAAAAGTGAACCGACGTTTATGAGTCCGACGCAAAATGCCAAAACGAAAGCAATAGTCCTTCGGGACTGAAATCCCTATAAACTAAAAAAAAAAAAAAAAAAGGGGGAAGCATTTTAAACTGGCTTTAACAAGAGTTGAGATGTTACTCTTTCTAAACATACATTTATTCTTTCATTTTTTTATTTTGCTGTTTGGTAACTTTATGCACATACCTTATATGTGCAGATAAAGTAAAAAACTTATTTAAATAATATAATTTTATAACATATTTCATATTTACATACAATAAAAATGATTTCATATTCAAATGTTATATTTTTAAAACTAAAAAACAGAATTGAGGTTTTTAGGAAAATGTATAGGTACTTCAGTAAAATAATACTGATATCCATCTGGATGCAAACACATTAAGAAAAAGCATTATCAACTTCTTTACTTGGCCATTTTCTTACAAGGGTATCACTGAAACATGATTAATTCTGCATACTGATATTATAACTCTTGGAAATCAATTTTGAGACTCTGACTTTCAATCACACTTTGAGGCATACATTGTATTACCAAGCATCAATTATAAGAAAACTCACTAAGATAAATGGTTAAAAATTAAAAATGATATATATTTTCCCCTTCAAAGCACGAATTTACTTCTTGATAAATCTTAAACCAAAATAGATATAGATGATAAAAATGTGAAAAAGGGAAAAGTCAACCAATAAATTCATAATATAGTGACACAATACATTACTTTTCACAGACGCATTAAAACTGTCAAATCTATTATATGCTAAAAAGGTTTTAGCAGGAAAAGAAATGCTCTTCTTTTTTGATCAAAAATGAAATACTCATATTTCAAAATCTATGACACGAATCCATCACAAACTGAACTTTATAAGTTTACCTGCATTGCTCCCTTTTTTGGGGGGAGGGGAGGTTTGGTTTGGTTTATGTGATTATGGCAAAGCCTTGAGAGCCTGCCTGAGGGATGCCTTTGTGGAGGACTTTCTAAGGGAAACTGGCTCATATACACATTACACAGGAAAAACACAAAAATGCCCATGCAGCCAACCTCAGACCGAACTACCAATGTTCACAGCGACTTTATACTGCTCGGCTGCTGGTAGGAATACTTTTTTTTTGGGGGGGGGGAGGCAAAATAACATATTACATATTTTTAAATTTATTCATTTCAGTCTGTTAGTTTTACAGTATTAAAATACAATAGTAATACTGTGAGAATGCAAGAGAGGGGTTGAGTGGGTCATAGATATTTGATTTAAGAAGAAATTTACATGCACTCTATGAATAAAAAGTCTTATGGGATATGCAAAAGAAAAATATTTGGGAGCCCTGATATAAAAGGCTATACGGAATGCGCCAGTAATCATGTTAAATGGAACAAAATACAAAATAAATGAAAATTTTTAGCATGATAAGCTTCAATCTTTATCTTGTATATCTGAAATGCATGATTTATTTCTTAACACATTGAGCGCCATGTCAGCCATCTGTGCTGACACTAGACTTTCCGTTTAGGCTGCGTCTACCGCCGCTGGCTGACAGTGTGTAACATGATATATAACTATACAATTTACACTGTTTTATGGGAATTACAGAAAAATTATTTAAAATTTACTTAATTTTGATTCATTACAGGATTAATGGATTTCATTGAAACACGGTAAGTATAAAAACGGTTCTCCATTACAGCTATTAAAAATTGTGACAACTGTCTTAGACTTTTTTCTGGCCATTACTCTACCAGCTTCAGTTGCATTTTTATCATAATTTACAATATTTCCGTACATCAGAGGCTTTTTCCAGTTTTCTTAGTTTATGCTGTCGTTTTTTAAGATGTTCTTGCATTTCTGTTCCATGGAATATCTTCTTTTTCACAACTTGTAAGGGATAGCGCTAATTCTTTCCAGACTTCAGCAATGCTAATTTTCTGCTTCGCAATATCTTTGCATAGAATATAACTATTTACAAAACAGACTTGGAACATAACATGTTAAATGAATGTCTATAGGAATCCCGTCCAAACGTAAACTATCTTCTACTACGATAAGAATCGCTGGCCCTACATTGCCAGCGCTTTTAAGCGGCGCACGTGGCCTGAACGGGATTGCCTAAGAAATACGCTTGGCGTTCAACGTGTTAAACGGCTAAGACACTACATATTTTACACAGGACATAAAAAAAAACACAAAATAAACATTTAAATAAAAATGAATTAATTACTGAATGCATCAAAATGAATCACCAGTCAAATGACAACTGTAACAAAATGTTCCTTACTTAAATAGCACTATAAAAGGGCAAGACCAGGTAAAAAATTTCCTTACTGTATGTTCAGATTTAATATATTTTTAGCATATTCTGGTATATATACAAGGGTAAAATTAATAACATGATAATAAATCAGATGAACTATAATTCACCCAAGTTTCAAGCTAAGATTCTCACAACTGCACCATTTTTAAAGGATTATACATGAAAAGCATTTCTTATTTCGAGCTGACACATATTTGCTCTAATTTGAATGTCACAATATCAATGATTCCCCTCATTTTTGTTTACAGCTACAGTGAAGAAATATATCTGCACATTGCACAATTATAGTTACCCAATACATTACCTGGATCATCATGAATATTCTGCATACTGATATCCGACTGTTGAATGAGAATAGAACACCAAAGTTCCTGTGCAATCTCACACACACACACAAAATAAACTAGCTGTTCACATACAAAGTTAATTCAGAATTCAATGCGATGTATTTCAAACACAGGTGCTTGGTGACCGAAGCAATCCATTACATCCAGAAAGTTGCATTTCATTGCACAGGCTTCATTACAGTGACATGTTAAAATAAAATATTTCTTTCTTGAATATTACTACAGAAAGAAAAAAGTATTTATTACAGGTGTCTCTAATCGCACATAATTTGGTAATTTCTTATGAAGATTATCAAAATTAAATGTAATTAGAAATTGAATATTAATCACACATAACTTATACTACATGTAGGCTGTAATTATGAGGTAAACAGGAAAACATAAAATGCTGGCCTCTGGATTCAAACAATTTTAATAAGTTGCTGGGCAAGGCAACAATATCCATTCTCCTTTTGCATAAACTATTTTATTCAAATTTTCAGATAGATAAATATTTGAAGAGTAAATCACCTATGATGAATACTGCATATATTAATTTTTTTCCTTATGACCTACCAGACTTGAAATGGTACAGCAACAGGCTGTTTCAAAGAAAGTAAAGATAGAGTAATGTAATATGAAGTAAATGGAGGGGGAAGGGAGAATAATAAAAATTAATGTACACGTAAATATGCAATCATGCTAAAAAAATGAGCACCAAACACTTAAAGAAAAGGTAGGAAAGGAGTATTAAAACACACAATTTATATATGAGGTAAAGATTGCATTGCCGAATGCAAATGGGCAACCAAAAGTGACATAAAAAGCAATCCCGCAGTCACACCATACATTAAAGGGGCATGCCAAACTTATGCATCAGTTAGTAAGTAGCAATAGTTCCCTTTAATCTGAGATAGCACAGCAGAAAGCGTGAACAGAGGACACCATTTGCATGACGAAATGCATTGGAGGGCTGTTGGGATGTCGTCATGGTTTGTTTTCCTTTGTCCGCATTGCATGCCAGAGTGCGGTTGAATTGGGCCCATATATTCATGGATTCCGGATATCAAATCAGCAGTTTAAATCTAGTAAGATGATATGTAGAAATTATAATATTAAAAATATGAAATAATGGTTTATGAAATAAATGGAGCATTTACAAACTAAAGGGAATTAAAAAAAAAAAAAAAAAAAAAAAAAAAAAAGAGGAAGACCTATTTATTTGTTTGCTCTCTTTATCAAACATTTCTTTCAATGTAAGTAGTTTGGTTTTTGTTTTAATACTGTTACGGATTTGGTATTTAAATAGCTAATATGTTAGTTAAATTATTTTATTCCCCGTGCAGTGCAGCGCGTGACGAATATTAAAAGAAAGCTAAGCCGGGAAATTGAAAATACAAGAGTGCGTGCATTTAATAAATATCTTTCTTTGATTTCGAGAAAGTTCCAGAAAATTCTCGCAAGCGATTTAAAAATCTTATAAAAAGGAGGAAAACCTCTCAATTCGATGATTTTAGTTAGTTTTTTATTGTTTTAAGAGTTTGTTTAGAAAACTGCTCGTTGACAGTAGCGAATTTGTGGATTAGCTTTCTTTACCTGTTTTGAATTAAGTTCTCTTGAACGTTTGAGTAGTTAAACGATAACCACTGTGAGATATTGTAATATAGTCAAAAGTCGTTAATCCGGACTCGTCGGGACTTCGGCGATTCCGGATTATCGATCATCAGTTTAAATCTGGTAAGATGGCATGCAGAAATTATAAAATTAAAAATATGAAACCGTAATTTATGAAATAAAGAACAATTATGATCTAAAGGGTATCAAAATTTACAAAAAGAAAAAGCTTAATATTTATTTGTTGACTTTATTAAACATTTCTTTCCATGTAAGTTGTTTAAGTTGTTTCGTTTCATGTGATAATACTTTCTCTTTAATTCTATTAAACAGACATAATTTCTTGTTTAGTTACAAAGTTCTGGTGTTCAAGTCCTACAATTGCTTTAAATCATATCAAAGACGGAGTACATCGAGATGAAATACTACATTTAGTAAGGAATTATACGCCAAATAAAATAAAAACATCTGCCCTGAAAATAAGGATAGTGCTGACAGATCAACTTCCAATTCATTGCGTGCCACGGCGTCCCCCCCCCCAGAGCAGCGTGAAATTGATAAACAGATTTCGGATTTCGAAACATACTTTCGCTTTGTACATCTTTTACATATTAGCAAATATATATCGGAAATTCTATTTGACACAATCGAAAGTTCAAGCTTACTTTTATAAAATTACTCTAACAGTCTGCAAAAAATAATAAGCTGGATCCAATTCGAAGATTAAGGAACAACACAATCTGCAACATTAACTGAATTAGATAATTTTAGCTTAGCTTATACCGTCCGTTATACATTAAACGCGCATGCCCACATGCATATTCGCAGCCATAAATGTCTTATGCGCATGCGTAAATGCCTGTGCGCATGCATCAAAGCGATGCACGCGCAGAAAGTTTGTAGCTTTGAGGTCCGGATTATAGATCATTTCGGATTATGGGTGTCCGAATTAATGACTTTTGACTGTACTGCACGAATATTTGAGGAGATTTAAGCATTTTTTTTGTTGTGATAATAATAAATTTTGTTCATTTTTCATTGGACTTATGCATTCATTTCGTAACGAACCCATAACGCAACAATTTCATAACGCAACAATTTTTGGTGTCAGAAGTGCGATTTGAATGCCAATAGCAAGAGCGATTGAAGAGCAATTAAGGCAGTTGATATCAGCCTTCGCCTCGTTTAAAGAGGAGATGGAAGATTCCGTTAAAGAGGAGATATTATCCGGTCATGAAAAGATGGAAGCTAGTCAGGAAAAGATGGAAGAATCCGTTAGAAGAGAGATTAAATCTGTTAAAGTGGAAATGAAAGTAGGTCAAGAGGAATTGAAGAGAGAAATTACTTGCATAATAGAAAACAAGTTCGAAGCTATGGAAGGAAGAATAGATACAGTTGAAGAAAAAGTTGGAGAAATTTAAGAAAGAGTTTCTGCGGTAGAGCAACAAATTGAACAAAGAGTTTCTGCCGTTCAACAACAAATTGAGGAAAGGGTTTCTGCTGCTGTTGCCAAAGAAGTTGACACTTTAAAGAAGAGCACAGCAACAGAAGGAAGCAATTCTGAGGGTTTTAAATTCTTACCAATGCTTGCTTGTCCATCTCTGAAGCTATCCACATATAATGGGAAGACATCCTGGCAAGTGTATAAGATCCAATTTTCTATAGTTGCGGATGCGAATGAATGGGATTCCTAAGCTAAGGCCTGTCATCTCGCCGCTTCTCTGAGAGCAGACACAGCGGATATCCTGCAGATGCTTCCCGAAAATCAGAGACTAGATTTTGAAGCTCTATCTGGCACTTTGGGGAAAAGTGTTGCCACGGATGTTGAAAGGCTACATTACGTTTTTCGGAGTGCCCGACAGAAACAAGAGAAATCCCGTCACTGCAACATTTCATGGATGGCATCCCGGCCCCTGAAATACAGAAAGCACTGTGAATGGTGGATCTTAAAGATTTGAAAAGCACTTTAGTATACGCCATAAAATTCTAGGCAGCCCAGCAAGCCACTCGTCGAGACCGCCACCCAGTCAGAGCTGCTCAAGTCCAGGAGCCAGAGGATCAAGTCACTGCTCGTCTAGACGTTTTAACTAGACAACTGAACACCTTGAGATGGAATATTGGTGATAAGAAACTGACCGTTAAGTGCTGGAACTGCGGTGCTGAAGGATACATACAACGAAACTGCAGAACACCCCAGGGTACGGATTGTGGCGACATCATTCGCGTTATTGAAGCGCCATCTGTGAAACTTCTCGCATGAAATTTTCTTTTTGCCAGAATGGCAACATGAAGCAGAAAAAGAACGATGACTGATTTTTTGTCTGCGAGATTCTATATCTAAAAAATGTAAATAAATATTAATCTTATTGGAGTAAAAGCAATGTTTAACATTTCCTATGTTCAAGATATCCACACTGGTTTACCTGGATGCGATTGAATTCAACTTATAAAGTGTCTGATGAAAAAAGAACGTACGATGTTTCTGTAATTTTAGGAGATGTCACTGACATTATAAGTACTTTATAAATAGTCACCTGTTACCGAATAAATGTTATGGACAGTGTCGTAAGAAGCTACTTACCCATTTTTAAAGTTACGCAATATTTCTCCTGAATTTGACAATGGATTGAGCGATAGTTTCGATTTCGAAGTGCTTCTGGTGCGCATGGATTACATCAAGAACTGATGAACCGATTGTTTTAGTGCGTCTGTAAAATGTAAATTCCGAGCGTACATGGTCAGTTCTATTGAAACAGGGACATTGTCACAAATCTCTGATATTCTCACCAAACCACCAAACAATGGCAAATATCCGGCCATTAAAAAAAGGCTGATTGAAATTTTTGCCGACTCTGAAACACAGTAAACCCGAAAACTTCTGACCGATTTAGAACTGGGTGATAAGAAACCATCCCAACTTCTCTGCGAAATGCATAACTTGGCAGCTGAGAAAGTGCCAGATGAATTTTTAAAAACTTGATATGCGGAGCATTTTATCTGCAAGCAGTGATGATTTGTCCAAATTGTCTACAATGCCTGACAAAATATGGGAATTAAATCCCAATCCATCCCAGGTAGCTCACATTGTTTTTTCCCCATCTGATAACATTACCCTCGAAGATTTACAGATGCAGATATCAAACTTGACACTGCAGATAGCAGAAATGAATACGCGTAGAAATTCCAGTCCACAAAGACAACGATACAGGTAGAATTCTAGAAATCGTTTGAAAAATAATAATGACCCAAATAATTGTTATTTTCATCAACGCTTTGGTGAGAGAGCATACAAGTGCACCCCACCATGTAAATACCAGGTCTTGAAAGAGGAAAACTGATTCCCAGGCCTTCGATGACGATAGAAAGTCAAGGGGTACAGCTGAGTCGTCTATATATTCGTGACAACGCAACAGCAACCCACTTTTTAATTGACACTGGAGCAGAAATATCGGTTATCCCACCATCACCATCGGAAAAAGGAATTGTGGCTTAGCTTGAGTTATTCACAGCTAATGGTACAACAATCAAAACATACGGTCAAAAATTATTGGAGCTCGATTTAGGGCTACGCAGATCTTTCAAATGGCCTTTCATCATTGCGGACGTTCATAAACCTATCGTGGGAATAGACTTTTTTTCACATTTTAATTTGTTAGTCGATAGTAAAAACAGGAAATTAATCAATGGCACCACCTCATTAACGGCTAAAGGGTACTTTGTGTAACAATAGCATCACTCCTAAATTCATTGCTAATACTTTTTAAAACCCATATAGAGCTATCCTAAACAAATTTTCTGACTTACTTAAACCCAACATAAAAAACAGTAAAATTAAAGAACATGACGTGCAACATTACATAGAAACCAAAGGTAACCCTGTATCCTTTAAAGACAGAAGACTTTCACAAGAAAAGTTGATTGCCGCGTAAAAGGAATTTGATTATATGTTGCAAGAAGGTCTCTGCAGACCACCGTAAAGCAGCTGGTCAAGTCCATTACACCTCACTTTAAAAAAATCCGGTGACTGGAGACCATGTGGCGATTACCGTGGCCTTAATGCAAATACTGTACCAGACCGTTACCCACTACCATTTCTAACTGACTGTACTCACATTCTGCATGGAAAAACGATTTTTTCCACCATAGATTTAATAAGAGCGTACCAACAGATTCCTGTTCATGAAGCTGATATTCCGAAGACAGCAATCATAACACCTTTCAGACTTTTTGAATTTCCTTACATGACATTTGGCTTACGCAATGCTGCACAAACCTTCCAAAGGTTTTATGAACACAGTGCTTAGCGGCCTAGACTTTGTATTTTGCTATCTCGACGACATTCTCATCGCCTCTCCAGATGCTGAAACACGCAAAAAACATCTTGAATTAATCTTCCAAACACTCAATAACTATGGACTGCGCATAAACATTGTAAAATGCAAATTTGGCTTGAGTAAAGTTGAATTTTTAGGATATGAAATATCAATGGAAGGAATCAAGTCACTTCCATCCAAAGTCGATACAATTAAAGAATATCCTAAACCAGAATCCTTCACAAGCTTGCGCAGATTTTTGGGCATGGTGAACTTTTACCATTGTTTCATTCCAAACTACAACAACCTCTGACAATCTTGCTTAAAGGAGTAAAGAAAAACAGCAAAAAACCTCTAATTTGGACTGAAGATGTGCAGAACGCTTAGAACGCTTTCACTGATATCAAAAACGAACTGTGCAACTCTGTAATGTTAGTTCACCCCAATCAAACGGCGCAGATCACCCTAACTACAGATGCATCTGATTCTGCCATGGGTGCTGTGATTCATCAACTATCTAATAATGCAAAACAACCGCTTCTCCCAACAACCGCTTTCAAAGTTTTTTCTCCCGATCCCTATCACCAACACAGAGAAATTACAGTGCATACGATCGAGAACTACTTGCAATCTACCTAGTGGTGAAGCATTTTAAACACATTCTTGGAAGGACGATCATTTACTATCTTCACTGATCATAAACCTATCACTTACGCCTTCCACCAGAATTTAGATAAAGCCTCTCCAAGACAAGTACGACAGATTCCGGATAGCAATAAGAAAATTTACTCCACAAATTTTAACAGGCCATACATTCCTAAAGAATTTAGCGAACAAGCATTTCTTTCTATACATAACTTTATCCCATCCTGGGATTCGTGCAACAACGAAGCTGGTGACAAAAAGATTCATTTGGCCTGGCATAAACAAAGACTCAACAGTGGTCTAGAGCATGTTTGCAATGCCAACGAACCAAAATTCACAAACATACCCATGCTCCAGCTGCTGAACCACTAGGTAGATTGCAAGTAGTTCTCGATCGTATGCACTGTAATTTCTCTGTGTTGGTGATAGGGATCGGGAGAAAAAACTTTGAAAGCGGTTGTTGGGAGAAGCGGTTGTTTTGCATTATTAGATAGTTGATGAATCACAGCACCCATGGCAGAATCAGATGCATCTGTAGTTAGGGTGATCTGTGCCGTTTGATTGGGGTGAACTAACATTACAGAGTTGCACAGTGCGTTTTTGATATCAGTGAAAGCGTTCTGCACATCTTCAGTCCAAATTAGAGGTTTTTTGCTGTTTTTCTTTACTCCTTTAAGCAAGATTGTCAGAGGTTGTTGTAGTTTGGAATGAAACAATGGTAAAAGTTCACCATGCCCAAAAATCTGCACAAGCTTGTGAAGGATTCTGGTTTAGGATATTCTTTAATTGTATCGACTTTGGATGGAAGTGACTTGATTCCTTCCATTGATATTTCATATCCTAAAAATTCAACTTTACTCAAGCCAAATTTGCATTTTACAATGTTTATGCACAGTCCATAGTTATTGAGTGTTTGGAAGATTAATTCAAGATGTTTTTTGTTCCCAATCAACGTTTCAAGCACCTTAATATCGATATTGTTGGCCCTTTACCATCTTGCAGAGGTTTTAGATACCTGCTTATCATCATCGATAGATTCACTCGGGATCGATAGATTCTCGCATACGATTTAAAAATCTTATAAAAAGGAGGAAAACCTCTCAATTCGATGATTTTAGTTATTTTGTAGTTGTTTTAAGAGTTTGTTTAGAAAACTCCTCTTGTTGACTGTAGCGAATTCGCGGATTAGCTTTCCTTAGCTGTTTCAAATGAAGTTCTCTTGAACGTTCGAGTAGTTAAAAGATAACTACTGTGAGATATTGTAATACTGCACGAGTATCTGAGGAGATTTAAGCATTCTTTTGTTGTGATGATAATAAATTTGGTTCATTTTTCATCGGACTTGTGCATTCATTTCGTAACAAACCCGTACGCATGCAACAATACTCTCTCTTTAATTTTAGAGCTGGAACTAAAATTTCTTGTTCAGTTACAAAGTCCTGTAATTACCATGTTAAGAATTCCACTAAATTTTTTATCAAAATTTTTTCGTTCTGAACCACCTATCTGTCATTTCTCCACTATTGGCACTGAAATTTTCTGGATATGGAGACATACTTCAGATTTACAGATCCGTTAGTTTATTGAGGCATCGGCATTCCAATGGAATATTTCACTTTTTGTTTATGGTACCCGAAAACCTAAAATTCAAAGCTATAATAATAAAGCTTAGAGCAGTAATTTATAAACTACACACTACTGCAGACGTATCATGAGATTAGTAATGAAACACATGTTGTTTTGCTAAAATTCGTCTTGCTTCTATTGAAGCACTGAGGAAATTAAGCCTAAATTATAATTGTATTGTTATTTATTTTATTTGTGTCTATTTCCCGCAAATGCTTAAAGCTTATCCGAGTCCCAATGAAACTATTTTTCACATACACTTAAGGTGTACTTTTCCATTATGAACCTACCACACATTTTGACAGGTTTTTTAAACATAAATAATTTTTAGTTATAAGAATAGTTTATAGATGCCAAAAAGACACACACACCACATGGCAGGTGATGGATCAATAATCATCAGCTGCCATGAAAATAGAAAAGTACTTTTAAGGCTTATTGGAACAACAAATCAATTATTCTGAATTAAAACAGCCTAAATGGCCTAAGAATGCCATTTACGAAATCTATTTGTAGAAATTTTTGCTAAATTTCTCATCAACACACTTAATACTTTGCTATGTAAGTTAACTTTACCAAAAGTCTGTAATCATGGCCAAGCCTAATGTCAAAATAAAAAAGTTTACCATGCAGTAGAATTCAATTATTGATATTTAAGAGAAAAATTGTTTTAGATATCCTTGCGTGATCAAGTCATTTCTCAAGGTGCTGTGGGTTGACAGTCATGAGGTGACAAATGCAAAAAGCAATTAAAAAAATGATTTGCAAGGTTCGTGTAAGGGATATATCAGTGGTTCTCAAGCTTTTTTGCCCCATGCACCCCTTTTACCATTGCTAGATAATCATTATCACCTAATTTTGAAAACTCAAAAAATACATATACATTTATTTAAATTTAGATTTTTTTAAATGTGTTTTAAAAATTAAAGAAGAAAATGTACAGAAGAAGTGGTGATAAATGCCAAAACTTGAATAAAACAAAATACTTAAGAGGTAAATAAAAAGCTAACTGCATTATTCCCTTGAAGCTGTGAAATTTCCTCTTCGGTGGGAATTCCCCCTCCCCTAGTTGAGAACCCCTAGGTTATAGGATTAGTACAGTACTGGTAAGTCTTTAATCTGGATGTCCATAATCCAGACCTCAAAGCTACAAACTTTCTGAGGATGCGTGAATGCATTTATGCATGCGCATAATACGTTTACGCACGCTTAATGCATAACGGACGGTATAAGCTAAACTAAAATGATCTAATTATCTATTTCAGTTAATGTTGCAGATTGCGTTGTTCCTTAATCTTCTAATTGAATCCGACTTATTATTTTTTGCAGACTGTTAGAGCAATTTTATAAAAGTAAGCTTGAACTTTCGATTATGTCAAAAAGAATTTCCGATTCTGGAGCTGCAAAGCGAAAGCATATTTCGATGTCCATCAAACAAAAAGTGGAATTGCTGCACAAAATGGATAAAGGCCTATCCGTCTCAAAATTATGCGAGAAGTATAACATTGGAAAATCCACTTACATTGAAAGAAATGTTTAATAAAGTAAACAAATAAATATTAAGCTTTTTTTTTTGTAAATTTTGATACCCTTTAGATCATAATTGTTCTTTATTTCATAAATTATGATTTCATATTTTTAATTGTAAAATTTCCGCATGCCATCTTACCAGATTTAAATTGATGATCTATAATGCGGAAAAACCCCTAATCTGGAATCACCGAAGTCCTGATGAGTCCGGATTAAAGACTGTACAGTATTAGTATTAGCAGGCGCAGCTTACAGTCCACCTACCCGGCCATATGCTGGGTTCTATGATATTCAGTAGGCATAAAACCAGTGATAAACTTTGATAACATTGTTTTGGTTTGAGACATATGCTAAGCAATAGATGGCTAATGAGGCAAATTATTGATCACGCAGATTTATGCTGATAAATGATCGTGTTTCTTTAACAGCCAGATGTACTTTAATTACTGCCTAAGTGAAATTAAGAATCAGGATATTCCACATACCTTATTATGAAGGATTAAAAAAGTCTACTGCACATGGCATGAAGCATTAAGCTCATGCTACTTCTGGAATTTTTCTCCCTTTTCGCATAGTATTAAAAAAAAAAAAAAAAAAAAAAAAAAAAAAAAAAAAAAAAGCTGGTGGTCACGAGACGTGAATATTGGAGATCATTTTGGATACTAAAATACTGGACATCTAGATTTTATACTTTGTACCACACACATTTTTGCCACTTAGATGGTTAACATATTTTTCTTTTTGTTACAGATATCTATGTGCAATAATGGAAAAATATCACAATGAATTATTTTTTATAGAAATACTCCCGAAGACAATTCAAGGTAGTGCAGGAAACTGGTAAATTACCTAAAAGTGTTCTTTTTCTGAGTCTCATAACTAAAATTATAACAAAAATGTGTCTATTATAGATATACAGGGTGTACAGTAAATGTTGCAACAAACTTTTAGGGAAGGTAGGGCACATCATAAAGATTAAGAATTGCATAGGAACCTATACTCGGAAATGTCAGGGGTAAGTGGTAGCAGAGGTAGAAGATGGAAAAGAAGCAAAAGTGATTAATTTGAAACATTTATTGGATATGAAAGCTTGAATGTTACAACAGATGCTCACAGTTTGCACCATCAAATGCCAAACATGTCTGACATCGACGGATCATTTGAATGCTGTGAATTATTTGATCTTTCTGCAGCAGGTTCTTCCTGATTTGCTTGACGAAGTTCCACCAAATATGAGGTACAACATGTGATTCCAACATGATGGGGGGCCCCTGCTCATTTTGGACTAGAAGTTCGTAGCCATTTGAACAGATCATTC